ACAGAGGATTTCTTTTTTCTGAGAAAATTTCCTATAAAAATTTGTAATAGTAAATTTCAAAAAAAAAATTCTTTCTAGCTGTAACGTTAACGTAAAAAATGTGCAAAAAAATGCCATTTTGCCTTTTTTTGGTTAATCAACTGCATCTTCGTTAATATTGGGGGGGTTAGAAGAAAATTTGATAGCCTAATGTATCCCAAAGATCCCTCTAAATTAGTAGATTGATTGGTTCAGCGGTTTTCCTGGACTGATTGATTGAAATTTTGAAAAAATTAAGGGAACAAGGTTTTTGTTCTCTAAACTCAACCTAATTTTTTATAAAAATCAATCATTTCATTTTTCTTTACTATTATTACTTTTTACTCAATTTATTATTATTAGATTAATTATCAAAAGATAAATTTTTTTGGAAATTTTCGAATTTAAAAAAAAATTTTTTTTGTCTTTTTTTTGATAATTAATCTTTAAAAAATACAAAATTGAATAAAAAGTAAAAAAATTAAGTTATTGATTTTTATAAAAAAAGGAGGTTGAGTTTAAGAAACAAAAACCTTGTTCTCTTAATTTTTTCAAAAATTGAATCAATCGGTCCAGAAAAACCGCTAAACCGATCGATCTATTGATTTAGAGCGGCCTTTGCGATACATTAGGCTGTAAAATTTTCTTGTAACCTAAACTTTTCCCCTAATATTGTAAGAGATATAGTCGATTAACCAAAAAAAGGCAAAATGACATTTTTTTATTCTTTTTTCACGTTAACGTTATAACGGGGTTTTGACCCAGCGCGGGTCACTCGTTATATAAATTACGAGGGGATTAAAACAGCTCGGTGTGGGCCTCGTAATAGGCTGCGCAAAGCCTAACCCAGCAGCAACAGGGACGTCGTGGTGCAGCGTCTGTTACCTTGGCCCGCGGAGAGCGTCGTGTAGTCCTATGGGCGCTTTGGAGCGATCACGAAATTCAGGCGCGAAAGCCGGACGGAACGGGATTGCTTACGATAGGTAAAAAGGAAGCGCAAAAGAAGAAAACAGATATACGAATAACATCGAGTTTACTACGGAGAATAATACAAAATTAATACGCAGCGTAAGCGGGAGAGAGAGCGGCGAAAAGCTAGCGAGAGAGGCACGTATTCGAGATGGTACTTACAATAATATCTCGGCGTTAGCCCTGCAGGCGATATCCTCAGCCTCGCACGTGGCTCGCGATAACGCGCAGTGTGCAGCTCGGGTGCAGTCAAGAGGCGGGCGGCCTTAGAGGCTCTCACGCGTGGTCGCAGGAACTAGCCCACCAAAGGCACTAGGGGCAATCTCGGTACCGAAACCTTACACCGAGTGGACACTCGCGTATTCGCAGGCAACCGAAATGTCAGTCACAAAAGTTAGTCGCGAAAAGTCGGACAGCAAAAGATCGCAAGCACGTGTATAGCCGCTCGTCACACGTCCACGTGCTTCGAAGTCGCCGGTACAAGAGAAAGTCCTTATCGCGGGGCTTTGTCCTGCTCCACTCTCTTACTCGCGCGCGTCGCGCCGGCCTCCCGAATTCTCTCTCCCTAGCTCGCCCTCTATTAGCGCTCTCTCTGACTTACCTTTAGCTGCCATACAAGTGAGATAATTATAAGATAATTATATATATAGGAATAATTATAATTATGTACGGGGAGAGAGAGACATAACGAGGGTCTGGCCGCTCGTTATAACGTTACAGCTGGAAAGAATTTTTTTTTGAAATTAACTATTATTTAAGATTTTTATAGGAAATTTTCTGCAAAAAAAGAAGTCCGCTTGCTGTACGACTAGTAGTTCCAGAGATCTCGGCAGTTGAGTGACAAAGGATCCTTTTGCATTCAAAATTCGATATCTCGAAGATGAATGGTCGAAACCGAATCCCGTGACAAGAAAATTGAAGCTGAATAAACAGGCTATGTGACCTATGCATTGGTCTAGCTCGAAAAAATTTTTTCATACCCGTAAAGCGAAAAAAAAGGTAAAAAATTTTGAAAATTTTTTCTTTGTGCTTTATCCAAGAATTGCATGGCTACCGGTACTCCGAAAAATGTTGAAACCGAAAAATTCAAAAACTAGAGTCTTCAAGTTTCAAAATCTTTGTTTTTTATTTACTGTACGATCATTTTTTACTGAAATACAGCCTGTTGAAAAACATCAAAAAATTTTTTTGTAAATTTTTATAGGTAACCATTAGGTTACCTATAAAATATCAATCGAACATTCTGGCTATAGCAATAAACGAGCTTAATTTCTTTTATGAACTCGGAATCGAAATCATACTATTAAACATAAAAAAAAAATTTTTTTCGTTGAACTGGTCGTATTTATAGAAGATAATTTTGAATTACATTCTTGAGTCGGTCTAACAGAAAGTTTTAATTAGACTATTTTTTGTCACCAGAATTTGATTAAAAACAAAATTTGGATGCATCGAAAAAATCTGGAATTACGAAGAATACGTGTTGTATAAAATTCATCATTTTCATGACTTACAAAATATTTCCATCAACATAATGCGCGACATATTTGAGGATATTAGGTAGGTAAGATTTGGCTTTATTACTTCACTATTTTATTTTAATAAAAGGTTTAATATTCTTAGAAGATTGTAATAATAACTTGTGTCGACTTGATTTTGGAGTCGGATGTAATATAAAGAAAACCTACTGAGATTACTGAAAAATTAAGAACAAATTTAACGTTGTCCAAAATGTTGAATTTTATTACTGGTCTGTTAGTATCATCTGATTATGAAAAATAAAGTACATATTTACTTCTCCGCAAAATAGTAATAATTGCATCTAGTAGCAAATTACATTCATTGACTTATGAGTATTTAGAAATAATTTTTTTGCATATTTGGAATATTTATTGCAGCTTTCTTTACTTTTCCACATTCGTTCAAACCAATCCGTAATTTCCTGATGTATTATCCACGTTGTATGAAATTATTTGGACCTTTATGGAAATCATGTTATCTACGTTTTAAATGTCGAAACCAGGAAGGTAAGGGATTTGCTAGAAGTACTCGTACTATAACTAAAGTTAATATTAATCAAAATATTGCCACCAAATACCAACTAGACCTAAATTATCGTCATGGCAAAAGAAACTGCTGAATTTGTCATTTCATTGAAAAATTGCAAGTTAATATTAACAAAATGTTTAGCAGATATACGGAAAGTATAAACATTTAATAGTTTTAATGAAATTAGAGTTAAGGCCATTTCCTTTTATGACAAACCTATAAAAATTAACAGTATTTACATGTTCCCTTCTTCTTCACACCCGGTTTTTCGATTAGTCCATGATATGTACATTGAAAATTCTAAACATTGTTTTATAACAAAAACAAAATATTGTGTTTTAGATGACTGCTAGATGCTTATGAAGTTTATAGTATGGATACTTTCATTTGGGAAAAATGAAAGAATAGGACATTCACAATTGTTATATAACAACTATGGTTATAACTACATTAACAAACAATAGATATAAAATAAAGCTTTATTAATTATTGAATTTGTTTTACCATATCAAAATAATATCTTCTTGATTTCATTTTATATTTTAAAATATCGATTAAAATTTTAATGTATAGTTATAGCATTTGATTGAATTTAGTTTGAATGTAGGTGACATCTTTGCGAGCGATCAAAAATATGGCCGTATGATATACAAGACACATTTTCCAACTTATATATATGTAAAATATGCGTGTTAAATGAATATTTAATGAGCGATATGCATTAGGTTATGGGGGTATTACCGGTTATAATTTTGAAAAAGTCATTTTTTTTCATTTTTCAACTAATTATGCCTTCAGAAATCACGTCCTAAATTTTTTTGTGATATTCCAAAAAATGAAAAAGTTACAGCAGTTTGAGCGCGCGCACTTTTTTGGGTCGGTAAAAGGTATTTTCGGTAATTGGTACTGTATCGACAGTTGTTCACCGTTTACTTTCAAATAATATATAGATGTATATGCGCCTATGTATGGTCCAGGGATAGCAGACTGAGCAATTGTAAGTAATAAATATTTCGTTTTTAATAAAAATATTGAACAAATTCATAATAAAAAACTTTAAACGCGTTTTTCTCAAAATGACGTTCTTTCAAACGGCGGACGCTTAATCTCCGGATTGGCTCGACCGATTTAAGCCAAATTTGGTGTGCTTCTTTATTCAAGTATCCTGTGTGGTAATTTACCACAATATAAGCAAAAAATGAACCTGAAAAAAATGAGCAAGTGAAAAAGTGAAAAAAAAACGCGATTTTTTTTATTTTTTCAAACTATCGCCATTTTTTTTTTCCTTGTAATTTTTTTAAATATTGTGGTAAAATACCACGTAAGACACCTTCCTTTTTAAAATGCCGTTTGGTTTTTTTGTTTCAGATTCTTCGTTCCCGACCTTATCTATCCGTCATGGGACGCGGCATTTTTTAACCTATTGACTTCGACGCACACTATAAATTATTAAAAGAGATGAAAAAAAATCAAAAAAAAATTTTTTTTAATCTTCAAATCATATATTTCATCTGTGGAAATTTGCAAATTGATATAGAATAAAGGAATTGAGAAAAAAAAATTGAAAATTAGCCTATTTTTTGTTATTATAACCGGTAATACCTCCTTAAGCGAATTTAGGTTAGAATGAATAACGATAATTTACATTATGAGTATTGCGATGTATTAATTGACGTCTCTCAAAACTTTCATAATAGGCCTTGTTATTAATCGAAATTTTTCTTATTATGAAATATTAAATCTTCTTTCATTCGATTTCTGAACAAGTAAAAATTATTATATTCGTTATATATTATTGGATTGGCAAATTTTATTATTTCAGATAACAAAATTTGTCAACAACAGCAATATATATATATACACAATTATATATAAATACATTATAATTATTAAGACGTATGTATATGAGAGAAATGCAATATGCAATAATGATAACATATGCTATCAACGAAGATGATGCTTACCTCCGATCGCTTGACTTTCGATGAAAAGTGTGACAAATATGCCGAGCACTATCCAGTAGTAGTAACTTAACATATTGATGAATTGATAATCTGACGGGTTGATAATCAGCCGATAATAGCTAGTTACTTAGTCAGAAACTTAATCAACATTTCCCCGAAACGGCAGTATGAGGCAGAATTAGAACGAGTGAAGCTATAACAAACATATTCGGCTCGAACAAACTAGCGAAGCAAATCGTTACAGTGGCTCGCATCCCTTGAGCGAGATATACTGATATAGGCCCGCTGGCACTTCAGACGTTCGTTTTTTTTTATATATTCTTTTTAATAAATTAGCTAGTTTAGGAAGCTGTTTAGCCAGAACTTTCCTGTGTCGACTGACTGGATGTGAATGAGTGACTATACAGTCGTTTCAACTGTTGCATTGAAGTTCTTTGGTAGTGCCGACTCACCGAGGGGTCTAAAGGTCTCCGCCTTTCGATAAGATAAAGATGAGAGAGAGAGAGAGAGAGAGAGAGAGAGAGAGAGAGAGAGTGAGAGAGAGAGGAAAATAGAGAGAGTGAAAACTATTATCTGCCAGTCATGGCAGTGGCTGGACTATCCTTTTTTGCATCACAGAATCCGCGTCTTCTGTACGCACGTCTTCTCTCTCTCGGTGTTTCTGTGAAATTTATATGTATATAATCATACACCTAACTTAACCAAGTGATTACAGAGAGCAATTGCGCCTAAACTATTCATACTTTTTCATTTATATTTTTTTAAATGTCAGCTTCAACTATTATTTTTTTGACTTCTGAGCTTATAATAAAATTAAACTATAAAATGTTTGATTAACATTTATCACTTATTTCAAGCACTAATCTCAGCGTATTTTTCATCATAAGTACATTTCATGCTGATTTAATAGTTTCAAATCACGTCTATATTCTGTATAGAAACTTGTTATCACGTAGTTACAAAAAATTAGAAAACAAAGAGAGATAGAGTAACAGAAGATCATCAATTCAGTGCCAATTTATAATATATAAAGGAAAGTCTCGCTAAAACTAATTCAAAATGTTAGTCAATAGTCAACAAAGCCCATAAACCGAATAAGAGCCGCTGATTAATGTATGATAGAGTTGTATGAGCAAATGTAAATTTACAATAATGTAAATACAAAAGCAAATGTAAATGTACACTAAGTAAAAATTGTTTATGTAAAGTTAGAAATTATATTGTATAGCAAGGCTGTGATATGTGTTTACAAAATTGCTTATCGCCACTCCGTAGAGACTGACAAGATGACCCCTATCTCTGACGTGACTTAGTCGATAAACGCGTTCACAGAGTTAAAACTTATGGTAAGCATACAAGCTATACTGCTATAATAACTGTCATGGCCCTTGCATTCCTTGATTATTACTTACCGCCTCGGTAAAAAATAATCCTTTCCAAAAATTCTTCTCAAATCTTTTTAAATGTATGGTCAATACAATTATATGTATGTATATTTAAAACATTAATGTATTTAAGACTAATATTTGTTAGATGGCAAAGTGGTATAATAAGCATGTGCTTAAAAATATTTAAGAATTTTTTGGGAGTTATTTTTTTGTATCTAGAAAAATCCAAGTTACCTTTAAGTTTTTTCAAACTGTAATTAATTATATTTTATTTTGAAGTACACTTGTTAAACTTATTTAGACATGATTCTAAACCACTAAAAGTGAAAAATTTACCGACGTTACTCATTTGTATGAAGTCTTCACTGTTATCATAAAAAAATTAAAAAATTGACTATCCACTCAAAAAAAATGTATTCTTACTTGCATCGTGATAATAGTTTATAGTTTAATACTTGTTACATTACATTATTATACAATTCCAGCTATCAAAATATTATGTAGCATGCAATTGAATATTTGTTTATGAACGCCATAAAAAAACAATTCCATAAAAATAAATAATTGTAAAAGTTGTAATTTTGTAACATTTAAAATAAACACCACTTCTAATGAAAAATAACATATTTATTAATCTTTTAAGGACGGGGATTTTTACGTTAAAATTTGACTTTTTTTTTGCACAATATTTGTGCATAAAATGAAAGAATATGTTACGTGGAGTGCCTGACAAAATTGGTGGTCGATATATCGACCAGTCCCGTCCTTAAAAGGTTAACATAAATAAATTCAACATATAATTATTGTTACAATATCTGTATATCTATTATATGCTGTCTAACAAAAACAAATAATTTACTCAGTCACTATTGTATAACATCTACAATAATGAAAAAATAAGACGTAAGACTTTTATCACTTAGATTAGCGGTTGAAAAATTTCAGTTTTTTTTTCTGATCTTTATTTTTCATTACAACCAAAATTGTATACCTCTCTTTAATTTAGTTAAGTTATTCCTACGTTTGTTGAATTGAGCAGTATTTTTTTCATTTTCATAACAATGTTGTTTTTTTTCAGTAATCCCGTTTTATTTATTTATTTTTTTTTTATTTGAGTCACCTTTATCAAAATCAGAAGGAATTTCTCATTCCTTTATGATATAAGTTCACGTTTGTATTGATCAGATCCAAAAAATTCCATGATTCATTATTTTTTCTTACGTCTTATAATATGGTAAAATTTCTTCATTCAAACAAAACTTTGCAACTTTCGTAGAACTAAAAATCTGCAAGTGTGAAGATTTTGGTAGAAGATTTCTATAATAAGCATATGCGAATTTCACGATGTTTTGATCTTATAAAAAAGTGATGGTAGCCATATTGAAGCATTTTATTCATGACCTGATTGGCTCAAATGAAAAAAACCGCGAGAATTCAAATTGATTTTAGTTGATTTTTGATTTCAGATTTAATTTAATTTGTTTTTAGCAAAAAAATAAAATATCAAAAATATAATCTTTCATTCATCATTTATGATCATAGTCGCGATGTCGCCGTCGAGCGGTGCGGAGGTGCAACCGCCTGACGCATCATCGCTACATAAGCATTTCAAGAGTCATCCAAATACAAAAGTTGGAGCAGTTGTGTGTTTAGTATGTGGTAATTTCTATCATACGAGTGAAATAGTAGCAAAAATCAATGCAGGAAATGCAATCAAACTAATAAACAGCTCATTCATAATATGCCAGGAGCATCCAAATTTTGCACTAACATCAAACTTGCCATATGGGGACTTAAGTGAACAAGCTAGTGCTTTTATAACACAATTCAAACTTGTAAGTAGAGAACAATTAAAACAGGAAATATTAAATGAGCTTGTGCATGAAAAGCAAATTTTAAATGAAAACGATGATAATATGGACGTAACACAGATCAGTGATTTGGATGAATTACAACAATTAAAAGCCGAAAATAACCTATTGAAAGAACTGTACAAAGAAACAAAAGAAAAAAATGAATTGCTCAATGAACTACTAATTAAAGAAAAACAAAATAAAAATGCAAATACTAACATTGTGAGAAAAATATATGCTGAAACAATTGCACTACTAAAACCTAAACCCAAAAGAATACCAAGATTAATAATAAAGAAAAAGAGTAATGATAACATAAACTTAGAAAATCAAGTAGCACATTATTTAATTAAAGACAAAAACATACAAACAAAAAGTGTACAAGTTAAAAATACTGACACAATAATTGTCAACTGCATGACCGAAGAAAATGTCACAGTATTAGAAAAAACTTTACAAAAAAAACTACCAGCACTTACTGTTCTAAAAGAAGAAATACGTAAACCGATAATTAAAGTAGTAGGAATTTCTAAAGCTTTCACAACAAATGTAAAAGATATAGAAATTGATATTAATGCAAGAAATTTTAGTCAATACGAAGAAAAATGCAAAGTAAATCATGTATTTACAAATGAAAAAAATAAAACAGTAACTGCAATAGTAGAAGTTCCATCTATTTTATATAAACATATAAAAAACAATAGTAACAAATTATTTATTGGTTGTCAAAACTGCAGAGTTTTCGACGTCATCAATACATATCCGTGTTACAACTGCTCAGGTTTTGGCCACGGCGGCGGAAAGTGTGAAAAAGCAAAAAAAGAGCCAACGTGTTATAAATGTGCAGGCAAGCACCAAGCAAAAATGTGTAGTAGCAGCATACTCCAATGTCCAAACTGCATTTTCCACAATGAAACATATAGTAAAAACTACAACGTAAACCATAGTGCAATCGACAGCGAAATGTGTGAAGTTTTAAAAATGAAAATAAAAAGGTATATTGAAATGACAGATTATCCAATTCAACCAACTTATCAAAGATATTTTCGTAGAATAACCTTTGAAACAAACACCCGCAAGATATATAACCGTCCGAGAATAAATAACAGTTTATCGTTATCATCGTTATCTACACCAAGTCCAACAGGTAATAAAACCAGGAGTACTAAATAGTTTTCTGCAATATTACAATATGGATAACAATTTATATGATATTATATTTGAAAATGAACATAAAACAGATAATATTGATGATCTAAATAAATATATATGTAAAGAAAATAATATCATTCTATGTATAAACATCAGAAGCCTAAAAAAAAATTACAATAAATTGCTAGTATTTCTGAAGAACCTCGATAAAAAACCATGTATAATAGTATGCACAGAAACATGGTATTTAGAAAATCATGAAATGTTCAATATTCCAGACTATAAAATATATTATAATGAAAGTAAAATAAACAAATCAGATGGAGTTGTTTTGTACATGAAAGAAGAAATCATCGAAATTACAGAAATTCTTGAAATAGATAAATTAAAAATAATTAACTCTAATATTACACTAGAAAACAATAAAAATTTGATGCTGTCTGCAATTTACAGATCCCATGATTTATCTAAATGTGAATTCCTTTTGAATCTCAAAGAATTATTGAAAATAAACAAAAAATATAAAAACAATATTTTAATGGGAGACTTTAATTTTGATATATTGAGAGAAGAAATACTAGATCAAGATTTTCTACAAGTACTGCTAGAAAATGGATATTGCCCAGGTCTACATACCATAACAAGACCATCCAATATTGATATTAACAAAGGTACATATATAGATAATTTTTTTGTTAGGCTAGAAAAAGTCAAATATAAAACTTACGTCCTCAACGTACCCTTCAATGATCACTACCCAATAATGATGAGTCTAAGGAATAATTATAAATGTACACAAAAAACCCATTTCAAAATAATAAACTATTTTAAACTAAAAAATAAAGCCAAAAGAACTGTTTGGGCTGACATACAAATAATAAAAGAC